AGAGACATCTTAGCAGTAACTGGCATGTCATGACAAGCCGCCCATATTCAGAATACCACAATGACAGGCACTTCCAACATGAAACAACTGTTACTAAATGTTTTCTAATATACACTACAGTATTTTTCAGTCCAGATTTCATTTAGAGCTGTGCTTTTAGATTTCCATGTAAATGAATTATTATTTTTTCAGAACTGGGGATTGAACTCAGGCCCTTATGCTTGCCAGGCAAGTGCTTATTCTACTGAGCTGTCTCCTTGGCCCATGAATTAATTTTTAAAAATCTGTTTTATGACTGTTTTCTAATCTTATGGTGCTGTGGCTCAAGGCATAGACTCTCTATGGTAGCGATATCTTTTGAGGTTTTGCGTACAGTGAGAATTTTGGCATAGTAGATATGTGCATGAAAAGAATGCTACCCACTGGATAGAAGTGTGTCTGCATAGACCCAATTGGGTCAACCTGGTTAATTGTTTTAAATTCAAGTCCTCCTAATTTTTTAAAATTAATTTTATTGAGAAAAAATTGCAATGTGACAGTTTCAAAAAAGGTTGTAGAGTTACAACAATTAATACATTGCATATTGTTGTCTTTGTAGTAGTCATTCATAGCACAAGATGCAGACATGATATCCTGTCCAAACACAGTACAGATCTTTCTTCTTACTTAATTATGAGAAAGTAGCTGTCTATCTATCCTATTTTGTATATACAGATATAAAATTTTCCTTCATTTATATCACCTTTTTTGTTCACTTTTGTCAGAGGTGGGTATTCCATTGCCATCCAAATATTGTAGGTGCACGAATTCAGCAAAATATTCCAGTATAGTCCAGTGCTCCACAATAGTAGTGGGTTATCCACAGGACTGGCAGTGTCTGAATCTGATGACTTGAGCCTTCCACAGCTCAGCATATTAACATGGCTTCACTTTTCATACCTCATTTCTATACTTTTCTGCTGGATGATTAAGACCAAGATAAAGCAAGACCAATATAACAAAGGATGTAACTTTTGCATCTGACACGGTCAGTCAAGTCCCCTCAGGCTTATCTCAAAACTCTATACTGCACTTTCAAGTCCTCCTAATTTTTACACGCTCAATTTTTTTATTAATGTGTTTGGTACAGGGTCTCACAGCACAGCTCAGACTTGTGCTGATGCTCCTGTCTGAGCCTCCGCAGTGCCTGGATGCTGCCTGGGCTCGGTGGCCAGTTCAGTGCACCTGGGGGTGGGGCCGACACGAGTGGTGCTGGAGATGGAGCTAAGCAGGCGCGGAGCTAGCTTGCTGGCCCCATGCTCGATTTTTTTTTTTTAAACTAGCAAAGCAAATGTTGAAAATCTCCCACTGTGGTTGTAACTTTGTCAATTTGTTGTAATTCTGTTTAGTTCTAGTAATTTTCAGACTGTGTTGTAAGGCCTGGTTAAGTTTATAGATATTTCCGTGTAAGGTTAGTAGACCTTTTATCTCCTTATTTTTTGTATATAGTACAAAAAATTGAGCCTAGGGTCTCCATACTGAGGTATGCCTCTGGCCCTTTTTAAATTTTGGGACGTGGTCTTGTGAAGTTGCCCAGGGTGGGCTTGAACTTGTGATCCTCCTCCCTGAGCCACCCAAGGTTCTGGAATTACAGCTGTATGCCACCACGCCTGGCTTCCTTTCATCAATTAAAAAAAGAAACTACTTCTGATTAGGACTTCTGTGCTCCATAATTCATTTTTCTAGTGGTCCTACAATCTTACCTCCTTGTACAGAGTGTGTTTTTTTCTACCCTTTACATCCAGCCTTTTTAAAAACTATTCTAAGAGATTTTCTTGCAAACTGACCTCCAAGTGTCTTTCCCTCATTGTACTTAGCGGTCTAGTTCACTTGCAGCTACTGTGACCACGTGTACATATTGTGATCTTATTTTGTGCATTTTTGTCGATGTTTATAATCTGTATTTTATGTTTAGGAGTTTTCTTTGCTTCTTGCCATCTGTTGGGTTGAACCAATTTCTGCAAATCTAGTTTCCTTGCATGTGCTGACCGTTTCTATGGCTTCTCCTCTGCTCAGCTTCTTCTCTTCAGAGCTGCTAGAAGTCGAGCAGCCCGGGCGTCACTCACCGAGACTCCTGAGCGCTCCTGCCGCGCCTGCTATGGCGCAGCTATGGGAGACAGGGTCTCAGCGGCGCTGGGTGTCCGCGGTGTTATCTTTGTTACATTCTGAGTTTCCAGCTGCCCTTGCCTGGGCCCAGTTTTGGGAGCGCTCAGTGTGCTGGGTTGGGAGCTGGGTGGCCAGGAGCAGGCCACGTGTGTTTATGCATGCATGTGAAGTAGCGTAAGGTCTGTTCTGGGGGTGAGCAGCAAATGCAGGGTGCTTCCAGCAGAGCCCAGCCTCAGTCGGGGCTGCTTGTGACTGCTGGGCTTACACAAGCTTTTGCTTCCTGTTTATAAATAATCAGTTCTGAGTCTATTCTAAGTGTAATTCCTTAGTGATGCCATTCATTAAATCCATCATGCTATTTTAGATCATCACAATATAGAGGGAATAGGGAAGTCACTGTGGATCATAGCGTGTTAGTAATGTCTCAGCCAAATGGCTCAGGAGGTGGCTTTCACGCCAGCGCCACTGACATGACACTGTAGAGCTCAGAGGTGGGTGAAGTCACACCAGGTACCATGGTGTCCTGAGGCTCTTGGGTCTCTTGGAATCGTCATCCCAGGCACCTGCTCAGGCATCTTAGAGTTTGACTATTGGCAGAAAAAGAACTGGCTTTAAATGCTTTATCAAGGGTGTCTCTCAGATAATTTCTTGGAAATAGCTTTACTCACACACCTCTCTCTCTCTCTCTCTCTCTCTCTCTCTCTCTCTCTCTCTGATGCTTAATATACTTAAAACGAAATTGGATGTGCTAACATCTTAGTCTTTTCATCTTTTCACTTCTAAAAACGTTCTGTGACTCCCTGGCTATGTATTATACATTAATAAATCTTTAATCAGTTACAGTCTCGTGTCACGACAGTGACATGTACTGAGAATTGGGTTGCTGGGGACTTTGTGCTGAGTGAACGTGGTAGAGTGTGCTTGCCCATAATGGTCAGCCCAGACATCATTAGGTGATGTCCTTTGCGGGCCACTGTCCTATGTGCCCTGTATCAGTGGCCAAACAGTGGATTGGCAGCACATGACTGTATGTGGAAGTTTTTGGAGTCCAACTCTGAAATTGTTACCAGTAAGAAAAGGGGTGTTTAGATCCAAGTGTCATCGCTGGAATAATGGTTTTGCATTCGGCCTTTGAAAATGAATCTCGATTTTCCCCTTCTGATTACAGGGATCATCATTTACAACTCAACTCCCGCAGGCATATAATCTCTTCCTGACTACAGCCCTTGGGGACGGGATCGGACTGTGGGACTTGAGGACCCTGCGGTGAGGCTGGCCTGTGTCACGGCACTGCGGCTGAGGGGGCTGGAGCGAAGCAGCCCGGCACCTTTGCCGGTCCGGCTCAAGGTTGTGATGTGGTGCCCTCCCACGGGGGCCCCTAAGGCCCAGAGGAGCAGGGGCTGAGCGTCTTGACCAGTAAGATCCCGGGTGTGGTCTCCTGGCTTGGCGTGGCCCATGCGTGTCTGGCCGCCCCGGAGGAGGGTCAGGGCATCCGAGACCTAAGCCTTTGCCTTGCTAAGTCACTTTTTCCGCTCAGGAGGACAGTGCACTAAAGTCACGTAGTGTAATTTGTAAACATATACAACATATAAAATCTTCTCTAAGCTAAACCTCTTCTGATAATCATACCGCGGGGAGAATCACCACACGAGGTCTGTCCAGCCTAGAACTAGCCACGGCGTGAAGCCTGCGCGTCCTGGAGCGCTGCGCACAGCGGCGCAGTTAGCTGCGTGCCTGTGCTGCGGCTCCATCTCAGCCGGTGTGTGCTGTGGGGACAAGACCTGTCCCCAGGCCTGTCTTAGTGAGGAAGACCCTGGTTCGCCCCGAGAGCGAGTGGAGAGTCCCCCAGTAACAAGAGCAGAAATTCCTGACAGTTTTTACAAAAAACACACTTTAGAAGGGTTTTACAAATGGTTGAAAGTTTAAACCCTTACTGCTAGAATATTACCACTTCCAAGGTTTTGAATCACTTATCTGAAAAAATTATGATTCAGAAGGTGTGGCTTTACATTTTAATGATCTATAGAAAATGACTAATATTTCTCATATACAAAAAGTTCATTTACTGTTAGGTTGACATCTCTGGGAATTGGAACTTGAAAGGCATTTGCATCATTCTTAAGATCCCCTTACTGCCTGCGAGTGTGATTCTGCCCCACACGGCGCCTCCCGGCCTGCAGCTCCGTAGTAGCACACCTCCGCAGTGCGGACCGTACTTCCTGTCCAGCTCCCATGGGGGAGAGGCCTTTCCTCTGCTTGTTTGTTCCTTCTGCTGAGGAAAAGCAGGTTGGTCTGTTCTGCAGTTTGTGGTAAGATGAAGCCCTGCGTCCTCCTCAGGCCTGTCTCTCTGCCCAGCAGGTGTGAGCGTCGGTTCCAGGGACACCCAAACCGCTGCAACCCCTGTGGGATGGCCCTCAGCCCGTGTGGCCGGTTCGTGGCCTGCGGAGCCGAGGACAGACATGTACGTGAGCATTCGCAATGGTGCTGCCGTGCAGACTCTTAGATTAGATGTTGTGGCAGAAAAGGGAACAAATCTATTTCAGGGGTCACCACCTGCCACTGTTTGGAGACCCTCACCAATTGTCAGCAGTTAATAGTGCTATGCGAAGGGTATAAAACTCTCATCTGTTTAAGTGATACACATGAACACAATACCCAACGAACACTGTGCAGTCACTAACTCATTCACCTACTAATAGATTCACAAACAGTGAATGGAGGGATCCCATCTTTTTGAAAAGTTTCTGCACTTCAAAGCAAATCTGCAACAGAGTAAAAAGAAAACCCACAAACTGGGAAAAAATATGGCTGACTGTCCTTCTGACAAAGGCCTTCTATCTAGAACATATGAAAATTAAACAGTCAGGCTACTCAAAATCAAAGACCTAATCCAAAAACATGCATCTGATATGAACATACACTTCTTAGATGAAGAAATAGAAATGGTAAGTAAATATATGAAAAAGGTTCAACATCCTGGTCATTCAAGAAATGCAAATTAAAACAACACTGAGATTGCATCTCACCCCAGAAAGGATGGCTGTGATTAAAATGTCAGTCAAGAGCTGGCGAGATCACTCAGTGAACTAAGTGCCTGCTTAGGCAAGCTCAGGGACTGGGGTTTGACCCCTGGTACCACGTGCTGTGCTGGCCGCACCCTTGGGGGCACTAGGCTGGTGACTGAGTCTGGGCTTGGTGGTGCATTCCTGTAATCCTCCCTAGTGCTGGGGCAGCTGAAAACAGGAGGATCACTGTGAGTCCAAGCTGAATAGTGAGAGCCTGTAACAAATATATTAAAAAAAAAATCAGCCAATAACAAATGGCTGGAGGACTATGGAGAAAAAGGAACCCTTCTGCACCATTGGTGAGAGTGCAGACTGGTACATCCACTGTGGAAATCAGTGTGGGGATTGCTCAAAAGGCTAGGATTAGAGGTCCCATTCAACCCAGCTGTTCCCCTCATGGGTATGTTTTTAGAAGAACTGAAAACTTCATACCACAGCGCTATAGGTGCACCCATGTTCATAGCAGTGCAATTTGTCATAGCTAAATCCTGGAAACAGCCCAGATGCCCATCAACTGAAGAATGGATAAGCAGGATGTGGCATTTTTACACAATGGAGTATTATTCAGTTATAAAACAGGATAAATTTGAGACTTTTGTTGGTAAATGGATGCATCTAGAGAACATACTCTTTTTTTTTTTTT